AGGTGTGCCCAGCCCCATACCTGACCGCCCGTGTATACAGGTGTGCCCAGCCCCATACCTGACTGCACTGACGGCCTGTGTGCACAGGTGTGCCCAGCCCCACACCTGACTGCCTGTGTGCACAGGTACGCCCCATCCTTGCACCTCCCGTGTGCATCTCTCACCCAGACGTCAGGCTGGTCCCAGCGGCTCTGACTCCAGGTCCCCGTCTCCAGCAGGTCGCTCTCCAGGGCTCCCCTCAGCCTCCCTGGCCCTCCTCAGCTGTCCTTGGCTGAGAGCAGCAGGCCCACTCGGGTGGGGTCCCCTGCACGGGGTCAGCTCACTGAGGACCCCCGGCCCGCTGAATGTTTGAGGTGCTGGGTGAGGGCTTGGGCTCACCGCTTTGGGGGTCTGCCTCCGCAGGGTGCTGACGGAGCTTGTGTCCAAGATGAGGGACATGCAGATGGACAAGACGGAGCTTGGATGCCTGCGCGCCATTGTGCTCTTCAACCCCGGTATGCCTGCCTGGGCGCCTCCGCCCCTGTCCTCACCCCACGTTGATGGGCCCAGTGTCCTCTCTAAACTGCGACACCCCTTCGCTGGCCACCCTGGGAGCTGGCTCCCTTGTCACTGCCAGAGGCCTGAGAGGAGTTCCCTGGACGGTGCCATCCAGAGCGCCCATCCAAAGCCCTCCGTGGCACCATGATGCCACCCTTAAGTGGGCAGTGCCAAGGCGCTGGGACCTCATGGTCCAGGCAGATGCCCCCAAGGGGCCTGGGAGGCTCGGGGAGCTTGGTGCCCCTCCACGAGAAAGGGCCCTGGTCTCCCTGTGGGTGGACTTCATAGCAGAGTCAGAGGCCCCAGATTGAGATGATTCCAACATCCATAGGCGCAGAGATTGTGAGCGTGGCACGGGATGGACAAAGCTCTGACCTGGTGCCCGTGGGCCCCTATGAGTTGGAGAGAGGCTCAGTGACACTTGACACCAACGTCATTGTTGTTAGTGAAAACACATTGGTTCTCCTCGAAGTGTAATCAGAGCTGACTGACGGCAGACGCTCTGGTGGCGTCATTTGCATCATTTGCGTGGGAGGAGATCGCACATTCCTCTCCCAGAGCAACTGATGGATTAAAACCACTTGCCTTGGGGTTGGTAGTGCAGTTCCTTACCCAGTCAGGCACCACGGCTCCTTGAAAACATACTTGTCGCTGTTGTTAGATGTTGTCGCGTACGACTCACAGCGACCTCACTGTCGGTAGCTCTGAACCCGGTCTTAGCCTGTCCCGTCCTCATCTCTGACACACTTGAGCCCATGACTGCCGTCACTCTGTCTGTCCATCTCGATGGAGGGCTTCCTGTCCTTCCCTGACCCTCCACCTTTCCAAGCACAATGTCCCTCCCCAAGGAACAGCCCCTCCTGGCAGCATGCCCAAGGATGTGACCCGAAGCCCTGTCAGCCTCGCCTCCAGGGAGCACCCTGGCTGCACCTTCTCCAAGACACGGCTGTTGGTTCTTCTGGCATGTTCCGTGGTCCCCTCCAACACCACGTACACGCTTAGGCATCATAATAACTGGAAAAGGAGGAGGAACTCTGGGTCCCTCTGAAGGTGCTAGAGAGCTCCCCAGTGAATAGGAAACCTCAGAAGAATCCGATTTCGGCTCCTGGGGACCCTCCAGGAGGTCCTTACGTGAGGACAGGGCCCACCATTCCCCTTAGATTGGTGGATTTGAACCGCAGATCTCTCTGTTGGCAGCCTTACGTATAATGCTCTATACCAGCAGCACCCCTTGGTCAGTAAATGAGGGTGCAGACAAAAGGGGAGGAGAGGCAGAAGTCAGGAGGTGTGGGGTGCTGGAGGGAGCCCCGCTGTGGGCTGGGGGACTGTGGGTCTGGAATGCTGGTGGAGGCCAAGGGCTGTGGAGAGGGGACTTTGGAAGGAAAGCTGCTGGGGCTTCTGGGATTGGAAACCCCCTAAAGTTCCTGGAGTTGGTGGAGGGCTCAGTGAGGCAGAGGAGGCAGTGAGAGTGACGTGGAGGGGGGGCCCTCGTCCGTTGCTCCCTGCCCATCCTGCCCTATGCCCCCTCACCCCAAGAGCCGTGGGTGGGTAACTCCCAGGAGGAGAGCCCTTTCCAGGGACAGCTCTGTCCAGGTCTGGGCCTGGCAGGTGCACCCCTCCTGCTGAGCTGAGTCACGGTCTCCCTGGGGACCCTCATTCCACACCCGCCCACCCCACGGCTCGCTCACAGGAGTGCTTCTCCATCCTCGGGCCGGGCACGGCCACCCTCGGGTGTCCCCCTTGGGACAGGAGCCCTGGCCACCCTCGGGTGTCCCCCTCAGGACAGGAGCCCTGGTCACCCTCGGATGTC